GAGCTATTTTTGTAACTGAGAAGAAAGGTGAATTCTAGTCAAAAGAAGACAAAATCTGCTTACAAAAACACCAAAGCTGCTTTTCACCATCCGTCGTTCTCTGTCTACTCTATAATTACAAACATTTTATTCTTGTGTTATGTTCCTTTGTGGATATGTTTTAATGACATTGTAACTTAACGAAAATGCGTCGTCAGGTAATACAACATAGGGTGTTTAACGTTGTGGTGCCTAGTAGTATATTCTCTTTTGGTATATTTAAGACAAACCTATCAATAAGGCGTTTCATAAAAAACTTATTCCAAAAACTCCAACGTTTGCAATTATGCCGTTTGTTAATTATTGTTAGTTGTTATGCCAACCCAACCCAAGATAACCTTTCTTTTTATTAGATGGATGAGGAAATCTGCTATCAGACACTCGATCTTAATACTTGTGTGGTCGAGTAGTGCCGGTTGGGTTGGGTTGGGTAGGATTGAGCCTAGTAGTATATTCTCTTTTTGCATATTTAAAACAGACCTATCAATAAGCTGTTTCCTAAAAAAACTTATGACAAAAACACCAACGTTGCTAATTATGCTGTTTGATCCAACCCAACCCAACCTAATCTTTCTTTTTAATAAAGGTATGAAGACATCTGCTATCAAATACTCAACCTTAGAACTTGTGTATTCAAATAGTGCCGGTTGGGATGGGTTGGGTTGAGTTGAATGTCTCATAATATATACAGAAATACACTGGCCAACGGGGTATATAGGTAATCTGTTAATACCCATGTAATAGGAAAATCAGTGCGGGTATATACATTACCCTTGGGAACTAGTCTGATCTGTATTACCGTTCATCTGAGTAGGTACTTTGAGTATCATCGGGGAATGCAAAATCACAAAAGCTCCAACGTTAACAATTATGCCGTTTGTCCTAACCAAACCCAACCAATCGCTTTTTTATAGAGGTATGAAGAAATCTGCTATAAGACACTCTACCTTAGTACCTGTGTGATCGAGTAGTGAAAAGCTTATGACAAAAGCTCCAACGTTGCCAACTGTGGTGTTTGTCTCAACCCAACCCAACCCAACCTAATCTTTTTTTAATAGTGATATGAAGAATTCTGCTATAAGACACAACACCTTAGTACTTGTGTAGTTGAGTACTGGTTCGGTTGGGAAAAGGTTTAGCCTAGTAGTATTTTGGCATATTATAACTCTTTCTTTATTAGAAGGATGAGCAAATCTACTATCAGACACTTGACTTTACAACTTGTGTCGAGGAGTGCCGGGTTGAGGTTCATCTTTGGATCCGCGACTGACTAAAACCAAAGAATAACCAGAAATGACACTGACGTCGATTCGTTTGATGTTGGCGGCGTCTCATTTTATGACCTCGATTTAAAATCCTCCACCTTATCGCGAGGAACGCGCAAAGATTGTGAGAGACAACTTAATTTACCACCAATAGCAGCGATACTGCCAGTGTCACTTTTGGTTGTTCTGTGCTAACACCCTTCCCAACTTCTTTAGAAATCGCCTAGAAGCGATGAAGTACTTGTTCTTTTTTCCTTTTTCCCTTCTTTTCTTCATCTATCAAGACCTCTGGTCTTCCCCTTCTTCTTCGACGTCCTGATTTCTATGGGTTATTTCCAGCTTTCTTTCGAAACACGCTTTTCATTTTAAATATATTCGTAATCATCTTTGCAACTCGATTTCAATCGCCTTCGCTTTCTAGCATCAAATCTACTGTGTTTGTTTTTATCAGGCGCATTCGAATCATATTTCGCATTTAGTTCTTTGTGTTTGAAATTCGCGGCATTCCAGTACGATATATTTTGCATTATCCAATCATCCGTAGTACCAACAATCTTTTGTCTGCATTTTTTTAATTTTACCAAAAACTTTGCGAAAACTCCATGACCCGTCAAAAACTGCATAACCCAACCTAACCCAACCCTACTCAACTCAAACCAAATAAAGAGCAAAAAAGTAAATGGGACTAAAGATTGAGTGGACAAACATAGTTAAGTGAAGCATCGACGCGTTTCTTTGCATTAATAATGTTATAAATAAAAAAATTAAATCTTTTCTGGTTACAACACAACAGAGGGAAACAAAGATATGTAATAACAATAGACGAAGAAAAGAGGATACAAAAAATTAGATACTATCAGTGCGTGACGAATGCAAAGAAGAATGAGATTAAGACGAAACACTTCAGTGAACACCACACACATGAGGTGAACTTATTGCTATCACGAACACCATCTTCATAAACGATACCAATCAACCATCTGGCGAGCGTGAAAAACGATTTCATTAATACGTGTTATTTTGAGTTTAAATCAAAATAAAATCGGTAACGTATTAAAATATTTAAAATCAAATGTTAGTGAAGACATCTTTGAAAAAAACTTAAAATCAGGAAATCGTAACGTTTCTTTAGAATTGAGATAACATATATAAATAATACCGCGTAATAAATCATAAAAGGTAGAATAACAACATCCTTTAAACAATAATAGAATTAAAACGCATAACATGACTATAGGAAGTGTCGTTCCGCAATCACTACATTACTTGAAGTGATAAACATAGTAATTCAATCATGTGACAATAAAAAACTTTTTAACCAAAAAACTTAAAATGTTGTATAAGTTAACCTCAAATATTCTTTTAGAACACCAAAAAGTTTCATTGCTCCATTCCGAACCGTTCAGGAGGAAAAAATGTTTTTTTGACTTCATTTTTACAAAACATATAATTTAAAAAATCTTTTGTAAAATAATCGTTCAACCTGAAAACTTAAAATTTGGTACAACCCATTTTTAAACAATCTTTTTTAACCTCAAATATGTTTTATGATACAATTCTAATCCATTTCGGGAAAAAAAATATTTTTGTAACTTTATATTTAAAAACCATCAAATTGATATCAATGTTATTTAATCTTTTTTATTAAAGAATCTGTTCATCCAGGAAATTTAAAATTTGGTATAATCTAACTTCAAACATTTTTCTAAACCTCAAAAAGATTTATTACTCAATCTCAAAGCACTGCGAAGAAAGAAATTTTTCATTAATTTCTCTTTCAATAACTAAAGTGACTTACATTTAATTACAGGATATCTAATCCCGGTTACGCAATTTGAATGAAATTATATTTATGAATATTTATTACTATCATAAAGACACATACAAGACATAAATCGTGCTAATTATGTGCTCAGACTGAATCTACTTTTTAAGAAAAAACTTCATTCTACAGGTTGAAACAAATTAATTTAGTAAAGAATATTGAGGTCAAATTTTTGCACGATTGTAATCTTTTCCTTTATACACTTGGTACATGAACGAAAGAAAAAAATGTAAACGGAATTTCTCTCCAAAATCAACTTATTACCCAGTCATATGTAAAACGCTGCGCTTGCATAAAAAGTTGGAATAAAAGCCGAGGATCTTTTCAACAAATATTCCGGTAGAAAAATTACGCTCAATTTACTGGAAATCTTATACAAATATATTATACAAACATCTGGTAACCATGTGGCATCAACATAATCTGGTATTCTAACGCTAATTGAGACAGAATGATTGAAACATTTCCTTTCATTGAGGACATCTTAATAAATAATATTAATCTCCTTACTTAAGATATCTCAAGTATAAATGAAACAACTGTTAATTGTCGTTTGTATGAGAAAAGCGACACAAATCATTCCTTCGTTTCCATTCGATATTCCATTTAAGTCCACGTACTGTTAAGTACTCGTATTTACAGTAAGCTTCACCGCGCATGCAATTCAAATGATAAAAAATAAAAAAGTCAATTGAAATTCCGACCGAATTTTGTGTAAAAAATGTCACTAAACTGGTCTACAACTCACGTGTGTTCCGGGTTAATTCAACTTTTAGATTATTTCACTGTTAAACCGCTCGACAATAATAAAAAACACCGAAACAAAAAACATGTACCAACAAAAAAAGAAACGTTTACGGTTTGAGGGCAATTTTATGTGGGCATTCATGAACTTTCCTTTTTTTTTAATTTAATTCTTTTTAATTTTTCCATTTTATGTGAGAGAATTTGGGTTAAAAGCGTATAAGGGGATGAAAATCCGATGATATGTTCCGTATCGTAACTGTTTAGAGTTCTAAATGGGTTAGTATAGTTACCCCTCTATCAAAACAGTTTCGAAGTAATTAAACAGAGGATGGTTTCTAAACAAAAAGCTTTAATTAATTATCGCAGACGTGATTTAATTTGCGGTATAATTTATCATTAAATTGTAATTCAAGTATTAAAATATCCACCTCATTTTAATATTTAATGTAAATAAAATAAAATCAAATTAATAGATCTAAATTCGACAAATTAGATATATCAATTAATCTTAACCACAAGCGGATGCCAATAGCTTAATTAAGAAGTAATTAGGTTAATTACGGTGTGAGATACGTACGCGTTCGTGGTTAATAACATCGATTTGTCAATTGAATTCCGTGAAGAGAGAAATCACCACGTCGACATAGCTCTAAATTCCATCTAAATAATTAAGAAAATGTGCAATTTTTAAAATTTTGGTTGAATTTGCCAACTTAATAATTTTTATTGCGTAAATTATTTCTCATCTAGATAATAGAATATGAGACATCGCCCACGGATTATTCAAAAATATCTTGACACAGTTTCGTTATTAAAAAACCCAAATCTATTTTATTAATGATTATTTCTTTCTCGTTTTAAATCCGAAGGGTTATTTTTAAATTTTACGATTTGGTGGTACAAAAATAATGGGTGGTGAATAAACCCAATTGAGAGTAAACGGATTTTCATATGTGTACGTTCTTTTTATTTGTGCTAGTTTTATTATGATTCAACAATGATGGTGGAGCTTTTATTTTCAATTTTTTCGCTCCGGATGGAACAAAAAAATTAACTACGAAAATAGAATAAAACTCAAAAATCATTTTTAATTTTTCCTACACGACTAGTATTTTTTTACTCACGAAACTTTACCCCTTCTTCGTGTTTATCGCTTTTGGGGCAAAATACCAGAGGAAACTCTTCAACAACTTTTAAAATCTCCGACGAAAACTAAGTAAACTAATATTTATCGATTGCTTGACACATTTTCGAGTTGCCAGGAAAGTTTGAAGTTTTCAGTTCGGTAAAGTTTAAATTAAACGACCGCAAAACAAAAAGTAGAAGAAAACTTTACTTACAATTAATCAAGTATGCTTTGAATCTACCACCCAATTTATTTAATACGCGTTTTAATCCGTACTAGAACACGACTCAAAATATAGCTGATGTTAACGGAACGCGTGTTGGCGCAACACTAACGTTCAGCAGAATGCTTTTACTCCTGCTGCTGCTATCTTAAATGTGGTAGGGCGATAGCGCGCATCTAAAATGCGTTTCCAAAGAGAAAATATATATACATATATATATATTCTCGTATTTCTCTTGAATCCTAATACCACCACATAGTAAAAATTAATCATTTTTTTAGATACATCACTCCTTTTTTCGTTTTATATAGTGCTGCTCTAGAAGTGAGTTTGGCTTAGCGAAGCTTTGAGATTTCGAATGTCGAGGGAGGTTTTAAAGTTAAATTTTAAAAGTGGAATTTAGTAACGGATTTGCGTTTCGGGCGTAAATGCAATATAAAAGAAAGAAAAAATGTGAGATTACATTTTGTCGCTTTCTACACACATGTTTACAACTGAGATTCCTAACGATGAAATAAAAAAATAGTAGCGGATTTTTTTATTATTGTAACTGTTGATTATTCAAAGCGCAAGCAATTAGTTGCGGAAAAATAGCCTCACCGACCTTATTAACGTCATGTTTATGTTATTGTTCTTTTAATCTACGCGTTTTTTTATTCGGATTCATTGAAAAATATTTTTGATATGAATTATAAATAGGTGTGAATGAAGAATTGGAAGGAATGCTTTATTGTTATCGTGCTGGCTTCATTGTTAAATAATCGACTCTTTAGGTTTTCTTTAAAGATTTTTCACTCTGAATCGCATTTATAAAATTTTTGTAAAAAAAAAACAGAATCATTTATAACATTGTTTTAACCAAATATTTACTTTCATTATTACACTCGAATATTCAATATTATTGTTTTATAACAACAATAGGTGGCTTTATCAAAATATTACAATAAAATAATTTTTTTTCCGGAATAGTTACATGGGCAATAATATTAGTTAGCATTTACTCAAGCAGATTTATAGTGATACTTAAGAATCAATTAGACATAATTAAATACCAAAGTGGTCAACATGCTAAAGAGATCTATATGGGATAATGAAGACATTATAAGAAGCTGCATACCGTTAGCCTTTCCTACCTTTCCTCCAAGTTGGTGGAAAGAGTATGTCGATAGATATCACCAGGAAATTATATCAGTCCTTATAATAGGAAATATGAATGCAAATATCGGCAAAAACCAGCACTTCATGGGTAGTACACGAGAACACACTCCGCACAAAAAATAGTTTCTGATAAACTTTGCAAAGAGTATAAATATGATTGCAAGTTCTACACGTATAAAAATATACGTAAAGTTACATAGATCTCAGCCAATGGAGGTACAGTCAATCAAATACATCACATTCTGATAGACAAAAGAGGAGAAAACAGTATATTGGACGTGTTGTGGTTCAGATCATTTCTTGGGGCAGGCAAAGATAAGGTCCAGAATAAGCAACAAAAGGACCATTCCAAATGATTGGAGGCAACTAACATCAAGCAATTACTGTAACCTATATCAGATACTGTTATTGGTGAGTACTAAACCAGTTTTAGACGCAGCAGGTCCATAATGGACCAAATATTCACTGTAGAAAAGATCCGTAGCAAACTCTGGGAACATAACATCTGTATATATTTTATGAAATCCTACAGGAGCTCTCCATGCCACCTAAACCAATACGGCTCATAAAAGCTATAATGGATAATATTGAAGCAAAGGTGCGAATAAACAATAAACTGGGGAACACCCCAATTCTATTCAACCTAACGTTTGAATTTATCATAAGACAAATGGAACATCGGACCAGAAAATTTGCTGAACAACAAAACAGTACAACTAACTGTATATATACGCAATGTGAACATTATGACTCGTAGGAAAGCAGCAGCTGAAGATGCATGCTCTTAACTGAAAGGACGCCAAGGGGTCGTGATTGAAGATAAACTCAGAACAAAAACGTTAACACAAGTAACAACACACAGATCGACACAAACACAGAACAACAAATATCAACGGAATCTCTGCGAATTTACATTCCGCAGCAATTTGGAGAAATAGTTATAGAAAAATTTCATGGTTTATCTCATCCTGGCATACGAGCAACCATTCATTTAATAAAAACAAAATTCTTTTGGCCTCATATGTCGAAACAAATTCGTATTTGGACAAAATCATGTTTGCAAAGTAAAAATTCAAAGGCATACAAAATCACCAATTCTCAAAATCAAAGTTCCAAAAGTTCGATTTGAACACATACACATTGATTTGGTTGGCTCGCTCCATCTCTTGGATGTACTTATCTGCTCACAATCACTCACAATCAAGGACGACAATTCGAATCACTTATTTTCAAAATTCCAATTACTTTTAGGAACTCATCAAATACACACATCTGCTTATCACCCACAAAGTAACGGTATGATTGAACGATTTCACCGTACTTTGAAATCAGCGATTATTACTCGAGGTAATTCTACTAGATGGAACAATGACTTGCCCTTGATTCTCCTAGGTCTCAGGTCATCCCTAAAGGAGGATTTAGGTTGCTCATCCGCTGAATTGGTTTAAGGTCAGCAACTCAGATTACCAGGAGAATTTTTCATACCTACCGAACCATCAATTCAAACTGAACCATTATTATCAAGTTTAAAATCATCTTTTGTTGACATTAAACCAGTTCAGTCAACCATACATTCCAGCCAAAAACCTTTTGTACACAAAGAATTATTCAGGTCAAACTTTGTATTTGTACAATTACTGGAATTAAACCTACGTAGAGTTGAAGAGATTTTCAAAATTTTTCGTTGTATTGAAAGACAGTAAAGAAATAAATGTAAGCCTCGATTTGCTGAAACCAGCTTTCTTTTTGAACGAAAACGTTTCTCCCGAATACAACAATTTAATAATCAATAAAACTAAAAAAGAACATTTTAAATTTTAATTTAAATTTTTTACTAAATGTTTTCCCTCTTTCTGTTCTTTCTTTATAGAAGGGGAAGTGGATGTAGCGTGCTGTGGCAGCAGCTCCATTTTAAAAAACATAAAAATCATCATTTGTTATTCAATCTGTTATTCAATCTTCATTTGTTATTTTTTATATTTGAACACAATTGTTTTTGAAGACAAATATAACAGACGCAAAATAAAGTCTGCCAAAAAGTTAATTTTATAATTTTATTATTATGTTGGCTAATACATCATAGCCAGAGTCATCATGAATGACTGCATCAGAAAGGCTGAACAATTCATATATTCGTGGCCTTTAGCAGTGACTAATAATTGAGGTATTTTCCAACCATATGATCAAGCTTTGAAGCTTTCTCTTCTCTTGCAGGACTACCATTTCTAGTTATTTGGTAATTATCTTACTTTTAATATCTTAAAGGTAACAGTTATGACAGCATTAGCTGTTTTTTCGACGATTTCGACTTTAATTTTTAGTATAAGACGACGAGGATTTATCCATGTTGACCAGTTATTTTATATAATGTAAATTAGAATAAAAACAATACTTTTTCTGGTCCTTCTATTTATTGTCTAACCAAAAAGTTTCGGCTTACTTTAAGAATATATCATTAAATTTTAACAATTTCAACTCTTAATAAACTCTAATAATAAAACAACTCTTAATTTGTTTATTCTTTATAACTTTTAATGTATTTAATAAGCCATATATATGTGCAACAAGATTAATCCCATATGTTGTTAAAGTTTAATGATATTAAGAATATATCATCAAATTTTCTCTGAAATTAGTTTCTGATGATGGCGTAACCCGAAATCGGTTAGACAATAAAGAGAAGAACCAGAAAAAGGATTGTTTTTATTGTAATTTACATTATTTCGTTTTTAGTCTCAAAATATTCCATATATTCTGGGAACTCTATCGGAAACTTCAAAGCTTTCTCCGTTGGGGCCAAAGATTTTCACCAGGCAGTCTTTCTTGATTCATCAAATCTTAGTAGTAGTCTTTGATGCAACCTTGACACGAAAAGGCATCTTTCACATCAAAAAACACTACTACATATAACTCTAAATGAGTGTAACTCTTCATTTTTATATATTCTACAATTTTCTCTACTCTAAAGATACCATTTAAAGTGGCCGGGTTTATAATCATGTTGGTCATCATGTTCTCTTTCTGTAAAGCATAGGTTGCTTTTCTTGTCAATTTCGTATTTCATATACAGCTTCAGAATAATAAAATAGAAGGTTAGATTAAAACAGATCGCTAATTCCATATTTAAAAATCTAAACCGGTAATCGGTAAATCCATAGAAAACTTAAAACTAACACCAGGAAGTCCTTCTTGGTTCACCAAATCTTGATAGTTGTTGACACTAAAAGATGTCTCTAGAAGGTTTCTATTGATTTACTAGATTATCCAGAAGTTTCTAAGAGTTTCTAAAATAATTGAAAAGTGTCGAAACGCTTTTTGGATACTTTTGGAGATTCCCACACCACATTTATAACTGTCAAAAAGTCTCCAGAAGCTATCTAAACATTTCCTTAGTAACCAAGACGTTTCTAAGAATTTCCAAAACTATCAAAAAGTGACTAAACACATTCTAGATACGTTTGAAGATTCTCAAACGACACTTAAAAATTTCCAGAAGCTTTTTGGTTACATTTCTTTGGTTACCCACACGTTTGTAAGATTTTCAGCGTCAAGAAGTACCATCACAATTCTTTTATTTTCTACTTTCTACAACTTTCTCTTTTCTAAAGATAGAATTCATAGTGTAAGGCCAGATATGAATCCATTACGCAAAACCAATCCTATTACCCATAAGAGCTACATAGGAAACTTCAAAGCTTTTTCAGTTGGGTGCAAAGCTTTTCATGAAGTTGTATTCTTGGTTTGCCAGGTCTTGATAGTTCTTGATGCCACGTTTACTCAAAAAGGTAGTTTCGACATCAAAAAGTTACCCTTTCACA